ATTGTTCATTATTCATTGCTCATTGCTTCTTGATATCATCTTATCGCTCTCTCTCTCTCTCTCTCTCTCTCTCTCTCTCTCTCTCTCTCTCTCTCTCTCTCTCTCTCTCTCTCTCTCTGTTTCTCTTTTTCTGGGATGATGAATTTAATGATAACGATAAGTCATAATAAAAATAAGACAGTGAGATTATTGATGGTAAGGATAGAAATGACAACAACAACAATAAAAAAGAACAACATAAAGAGGATAATAACACAAGGAATACACTGTAACATCGTCCAGTCAGTCTTAAAACCGATGTCTCGTGTCTCAGATTCCCCCCCCCTCGCTTATCACACCTATTCACTCTTTCCTCCTCCCTACTAACTTCTTTCATGTTCTCTTCCTTTACTCATGTCCCCTTTCCCCTCTTTCTTCGTTTCTCACCCCTCTACCCCCTTTTTCTTCGTCCTCACTTATGCGCCTCTCTCCCTCTCTCCTTCTTCCTTCGTCCCCCCACTCATGTCCTTTTCTCTTCCTCTTTCTTCGTCTCCACCTATGCGCCTCTTTCTCTGTCTTTCTTCCTCCCTCTCCCTCTCTTTCTTCGTTCTTCCCTAACCCTCTTCCACTTTTTTTGTCCCTCACCCCCCTCTCTCTCTTTCTTCGTTCTCCCCTACCCCTCTTCTTATTTTTCTTTGTCATCTTCTACCTCTCTCCCCCTCTTTCTTCGTCCCCCACCTATGCCCCTCTCTCCCTCTCTGCCCCTTTCCCTTCCTCTCGTATTCTCATCCACTTTTTCCCTCTACCATATTTCCTCCCCTTCTTTTCCAATCCTTTCCCTTTACCCCCTCCTCCTTTCCCACTCCCTAGTTCTCTGCCAACTCCTACCACCCATTTCCTACTTCCTTTTTCTCCACTCTATCTTTCCCCTCTTCCATACGCTCTTCCCAACTCCCCTTTCCACCCTCTCCCCTCTCACCTCCCCAACCCCTCCCCTCTTATCTCCCCTTCCCACCCTCTCCCTTCTCACCTCCCCACCTCCTTCCCCAACCCCTCTCCTCTCTCCCCTCACCTCCCCAACTCCCTCCCCATCCTCTTCCCTCACACCTCTCACCTCCCCAACTCTCTCCCCACCCTCTCCCCTCCCAAACACCCTCCCCATCCCATCCCTCTCCCCTCTCAATCCCCCCCTCTCTCCCCCTTTTCTTTACCCTGGGTTTACACTCAATTATTCAGCGTGTCTACCCCCCCCCCCCCCCCGCCGCTCCCCGCGTGTCTTCCCATCCCCCCCATCCCTCCCTCCCCATCCCCCCCACAACCATCTCCGTCTGGGATTAACAAGGTTCAGAGGTCGTGGTGAGGTTATAGAGGTTGTAGAATGGGGTTGTGAGGGTTCGATTGAAGGTTCTGGTGAGGTTCTGTGAGTTGTAGGGAAAGTTGTGTGGGGTTGGGAGTGTTGTAGGGAGGTTTGTGTGGGGTGGGAGTGTTGTAGGGAGGTTGTGTGGGGTTGGGAGTGTTGTTGGGAGGTTGTGTGGGGTCGGAAATGTTGTAGGGAGGTTGTGTGGGGTTGGGAGTGTTGTAGGGAAGTTGTGTGGGGTTGGGAGTGTTGTAGGGAGGTTGTGTGGGGTGGGAGTGTTGTAGGGAGGTTGTGTGGGGTTGGTAGTGTTGTAGGGAGGTTGTGTGTGGTTGGAGTGTTGTAGGGAGGTTTGTGTGGGGTTGGGAGTGTTGTAGGAGGTTGTGTGGGGTGGGAGTGTTGTTGGGAGGTTGAGTGGGGTTGGGAGTGTTGTAGGGAGGTTGTGTGGGGTGGGAGTGTTGTAGGGAGGTTGTGTGGGGTGGGAGTGTTGTTGGGAGGTTGGGTGGGGTTGGGAGTGTTTGTAGGGAGGTTGTGTGGGGTGGGAGTGTTGTAGGGAGGTTGTGTGGGGTTGGGAGTGTTGTAGGAGGTTTGTGTGGGGTTGGGAGTGTTGTAGGGAGGTTGTGTGGGGTTGGGAGTGTTGTAGGGAGGTTGTGTGGGGTGGGAGTGTTGTAGGGAGGTTGTGTGGAGTTGAGAGTGTTGTAGGGAGGTTGTGTGGGGTGGGAGTGTTGTAGGGAGGTTGTGTGGGGTGGGAGTGTTGTTGGGAGGTTGGGTGGGGTTGGGAGTGTTGTAGGGAGGTTGTGTGGGGTTGGGAGTGTTGTAGGGAGGTTGTACGTGGTTCTGTGGGTTGTAGGGAAAGTTGTGTGGGGTGGGAGTGTTGTAGGGAGGTTGTGTGGGGTTGGGAGTGTTGTAGGGAGGTTGTGTGGGGTTGGGAGTGTTGTAGGGAGGTTGTGTGGGGTTGGGAGTGTTGTAGGGAGGTTGTACGTGGTTCTGTGGGTTATAGGGAAAGTTGTGTGGGGTCGGAAGTGTTGTAGGGAGGTTGTGTGGGGTGGGAGTGTTGTAGGGAGGTTGTGTGGGGTTGGGAGTGTTGTAGGGAGGTTGTGTGGGGTTGGGAGTGTTGTAGGGAGGTTGTGTGGGGTTGGGAGTGTTGTAGGGAGGTTGTACGTGGTTCTGTGGGTTGTAGGGAAAGTTGTGTAGGGTGGGAGTGTTGTAGGGAGGTTTGTATGGGGTTGGGAGTGTTGTAGGGAGGTTGTGTGGGGTTGGGAGTGTTGTAGGGAGGTTGTGCGTGGTCGAGTGGGTTGTGGGAAAGTTGTGTGGAGTTGCGTGGGTTGTAGGGAAGTTGTGTGGTGTTGGGAGCGTTGTAGCGAGGTTGTGCATGGGTTGTGGGAAAGTTGTGTGGGATCGGGAGTGTCGTAGGGAGGTTGTGCGTGGTTGCGTGAATTGTAGGGAAGTTGTATGAGGTTGTGGCGAGGTTTTAAGGGTTATAATGGGTTAAAATGAGGTTTTGTGAGATTAAAGGTGTTTAAAGGTAGTCAAAGCAGGTTATATAATGTTGTAGAAAGAGGTTGTGAGGATATGAAAGGGGGTTGTGGAGAGGTTGTTAAAAAGGGGTTGAAGGGGGGGGGGTAGTGCGATGTTGTATGTGGTTGTGGAAGGCGAAGGAAAGTCTTATGAGGTTCTACGGGGTTGTGAGTGATAAAGGAAGGTTGTGTGAGGTTGTATCGTTTTGAAATGGGTTGAAATACGTCTATGTGAGGTTGTTAATAGTAGTGGGAGGAGCTGAAATAGATTTTTTAGAGGTTGTATGTGAAGTTGGGGTTATAAAAGATTTAAAAAAGTGGGGTTGTAGAAATCTTTGGAAAGATTGTTCGGAATGAGTTTGTGTATTTTTTTTCTAAGCAAAATATATACATATCTGATCTGATGATGATGAAAGTAATAAGAGAAAAGAGAGAGAGAGAGAGTGGGCGAGATGTCGTAGACACATGAAGGCGTTATCACGTAAACAACGCGAGGGCAAAGCGGATGCTACAGCCGGAATGAGACATCAAAAATAGAATATTCGAGCAGACTCCAGACAAAAAAATATGGTCAAGAGGACAAAACACAGATGCAAAAAACAGAAGCGCCCTATGACTCAAAGTGGCGTGATCATCATGTGATAGAGGGTGACACCACATGATGGACCAACAGACGCAAAAAAGAAATCACGAGTGCAAAACAACAAGCAGTTTTAATCGATCGCAATAAAGATCTTAGTGAATCAGTTTGGGAACAAGAAATGAACTCGGGTGGCAAGTAGGAAATGTTAGAAGTGATAAATAGAGTGTTAAAAATGTGCTGGGATACAGAACAGTAATGAAACATGATTGTTAAATTTAACTAATGCTGTGGCAATGTTGTGTTAATAGCTAATGGTTAAATCAAATAAATGTACTAGACATCAAGGTCATATATAAATATTGTGTTAGATATAACTTCTTTATTAACAGTTAATGAGAATAGATAGGTTAGTTTATGAGTGTAATTAAATAATCAAATGCTTTCTAAGATTGATAGCTCAGCGGAAGTGTGTAGACAGTGACGAGTCCTGTTATTTTCCGACGGAGCGTAAGATTATTTTTTTGTCTATCAAGTATTTGCTTTTATCATGATTATTACTTTTACTTGCTTGAGGTTTTGATTCATATATTCACATAGAAGTATAACTTAATTTGTGTTTGTTATAATTAATCATTTGCTTTTCTCATGATATATTTTCTCTTAATATAATGATCATGTTTACAATGACTATTTTCTTGTCAAATGTTCATGATTATTTTGTATAATATCTAATCCATTTATTAGCTTTGAGACATGGAATAGTTGATTACTCTTTACTCTTATAGTGATGCTTTGTTTTATAACATTTAATTAAGATATAACGTAATTTTGAATATTGTTGGTTCTGTTTTCGTCAAGTTTCATGATTGATGATTATATCATAACTGTCTATTTGTATTTAAAGAGTTAAGAACTCAAATATAATCTTTTGTTTCACGTAAAATTTGATATTGTAATTACATTATATTGTATTGATAATAATCAGTTAATGAATGTATTGATTTCTTTTACGAAGATTTAACTCAAACCTTGAAATGCACTAAATAATAATATTAACATTGACACTTTGAAATTATAAGTTAAATATTTAAAGTTACACTATAATTAATGAGTACATTTAAACATTTATTGGTCTAACGAAATAAGTCCTGATAATGAAGAGCATTAAATAAAATGTTGTGCCACAACAGTGAGAGAGAGATAGAGAAAGAGAGAGAGAGAGAGGAAGAGAGAGAGAGAGAGAGAGAGAGAGAGAGAGAGAGATAAAGAGAGAGAGATAGATAGATAGATAGATAGATAGAGAGAGAGAGAGCGAGAGAGAGAGAGAGAGAGAGCAAGAGAGAAAGCGAGAGAGAGAGAGAGAGAGAGAGAGAGAGAGAGAGAGAGAGAGAGAGAGAGAGAGAGAGAGAGAGAGAGAGAGGTAGGGGGTAAAGAGAGAGAGAGAGAGAGAGAGAGAGAGAGAGAGAGAGAGAGAGAGAGAGAGAGAGAGAGAGAGAGAGAGAGAGAGAGAGAGATAAAGAGAGAAAGAGAGAGAGAGATAAAGAGAGAGAGATAAAGAGAGAGAGAGAGAGATAAAGAGAGAGAGAGAGAGAGAGAGAAGAGAGAAGAGAGAGATCGAGTGAGAGAGAGAGAGAGAGAGAGCAAGAGAGAAATCGAGCGAGAGAGAAAGCGAGCGAAGAGAGAGAAAGAGAGCGAGAGAGAAAGAGAGGCACGAGGAGAAAGACCCCCGAGAGAGAGAGAGAGAGAGAGAGAGAGAGAGAGAGGAGAGCTAGGGGTAAAGAGAGAAAGAGAGAGAGAGAGAGAGAAGAGAGAGAGGAGAGAGAGAGAGAGAGAGAGAGAGAGAGAGAGAGGAGAGAAGAGAGAAAGCGAGCGAGAGAGAAAGAGAGCGAGTCGGAGAGAAAGAGAGCAAGAGAGAAGACCCCGAGAAAGACGAGACGAGAGAGAGAGAGAGAAAGAGAGAGAAGAGAGAGAGTAGGGGGTAAAGAGAAATAAAGAGAGAAAGAGAGGAGAGAGAGAGGAGATGAGAGGCTGAAGAGGACGAGAGATGAAGGAGGAAGGGCAGGAGACGAGAGAGATGGAGAGAGGAGAAGGATGGAACGGGACGAGAGAGAGAGAGAGAGAGAGAGAGCAAGAGAGAAAGCGAGCGAGATGGAGAAAGAGAAGCGAGAGAGGAGAAAGAGGAGAGCAGAGAGAAAGACCCCGAGAGAGAGAGAGAGAGAGATGAGAGGATTGAGAGATGACTACGGAGGGAGGGACGACAGTGGAGAGGGACAGCCCTGACTGGAGGAGGAGAGAGATGCGATTGACGGGACGAGAGATTGGGAGAGAGAGAGGAGGAGAGAGGAAGTAAGAGAGAGAGAGAGAGAGAGAGATGAGAGAGGAGAGAGTAAGTAGGGGGGGTTAAAGAGAGAAGAGAGGAGAGAGAGCGAGGGAGGCAGTTCAAGAGGAGACGGAGAGAATTGTGAGGAGAGAGAGAGAGAGAGAGATGGAGCGAAGTTGAGAGGGGTGAGAGAGAGATGAGAGAGAGAGAGAGCAAGAGAGAAAGCGAGAGAGAGAGAGATGAGAGCGAAGGAGGGCGTAGAGCACCTGAGGAGAGATGGAGAGAGAGAGAGAGTAGGGGGTAATAAAGAGAGAGAGAGCACGAGGAAGATGAGAGGATGAGTGGGACGAGAGGAGAGGGAGAGAGGTTAGCTGAGTGATGACGGAGAGATGCGAGAGAGAGAGAGGAAGATAGAGAGAGAGAGAGAGAGAGAGCGAGACTGAGCGAGAGCGAGGGGAGAGAGAGAGAGAGAGAGATAAAGTTAGCTTTTGATTTTTTTGATCCATTTGTTTACAATGGATATTCTTGGTTTGGTGTGTGTGACATACTGTTCTGTTTTTATTTTGCTTCTAAATTCTCCCTGTTGTGCAAGGAGATGGCCGGGGTTTAACCTCCACTGGTGGCGAGGATTCGAACGCAGGTCAGCAAGATTGCTATAGACCGAGATCGCTACCGCTGCACACCACCACAGAGAGAAAGAGAGGATGAAGAGAGATATGATAAAGAGAGAGGAGATGAGAGAGAGAAAGAGGAGATGAGAGAGAGATAAAAGGATGAGAGACGAGAGAGAGAGAGTGGAGAGAATGGAGAGAGAGAGAGGAGCGAGAGAGAGCAAGAGAGAAAGCGAGTCGAGAGAGAAAGCGGAGCGAGAGAGAAAGAGGAGCGAGTAAGAGAGAAAGGAGCAAGAGGTAAAGACCCCGAGAGAGAGGAGAGAGAGAGGAGAGAGACGATGAGAGCGGAGGAGAGAGAGGACGAGAGAGAGAGACTGTGATGACGAGAGAGGAGGAGATATGAGAGAGAGGAGTAGGGGGTAAACGACGAGAGAGAGAGGAGAAGAGAGAGAGGAGAGAGACGAGAGAGGAGGAGCGATCCATGAGAGAGAGCGAGAGAGAGATAGAGAGAAGAGAGAGCGAAGGGAGCGCGAGCGGAGAGAGAAGAGACAGAGAGAGACGGAGAGAGAGAGAGACTCTGAGAGAGAGAGAGAGGAAGAGAGAGAGGGAGAGGAGAGAGAGAGAGAGAGGAGAGGGAAGAGAGATAAGAAAGGAGGGATGAGAGAGAGAGATTAAAGAAGAGAGAAGAGAGAGATAAAGAAGAGAGAGAGGAGAGAGATTAAAAAGGAGAGAGAGGAGAGAATGAGAGGAGGAAGGGAGGAGAAGAGAGATGGCTGGAGGAGACAGAAGATGAGAGAGATGAAGTGAGAGAGACGAGGGAACAAGAAGAGGGAGAGAGAGAGAGAAAAGCGAGCGAGAGGAGAAGCGAGCGAGAGAGAAAGAGAGAAAAGAGAGACGAGAAAAGACCCCGAGAGAGAGGAGAGAGATGAGAGAAGAGGGAGAGGGAGGAGGAGAGCTCGAGGAGATGGAGAGCTGAGAGAGAGAGCGGAGAAGAGAGAGATGAGAGAGAGACTAGAGAATCGAGAGAGAAGAGGGAAGAGAGAGAGATCGAGAGCAATTTTTTTGAGAGAAACGAAGCGAGAGAGAAAGAGAGCCCGAGCGAGAGAGGAAAGAGCGCAACGAGAGGAAAGACCCCG